TTGGGTTAGAATTGTGGATCCCGACTTTATATGCAAGTGGTTAATTTCACCCGACACTCTATCCGTTGTTATCGGCCCGCCGGAATTTTAACAGTTTCCCGGCCGTCTTCTCCTTCGCTTGCATCATCATCGGCATTCTCATTACTTACGGGTGTTATATTACTTGCTTTACTATCCACTCTCTTGTAAAGCTTGCATAAAACCCAGTTGTCTAGCTGCATCCAACACTCCAAAGCAAATTAACAATCTAAGGCTCACTCAATGGTTATTCCAACTTCACTTTTATTCTTATACATATACTTCATCCCTCCCTAAATCTCTTACTTATTTGGATTTTTATAATAAGCTTTAAATAAAGAAAGAATATTTTTGCATTAACTTTTCTAAATTACCCTTAATGCAATGACTAAAAGTATGTTAATCCAAATAAGAAAGGATATTTACTTTTTTATTTCAGTAAACAAAAATAAAAATTATTAATTTGAGATTATATGTTAATCTTTTTCAATAATAATTTTAAATGTTAGGAACACTATAAAACATTTTTTAAAAAATATTTAAAAATCGCGATTAATAAAAAAAATAAAGGAAAAAAAAGAAGAAAAAACAACAACAAAAATAAGAAATGAGCATCCGTGCCCCTATGGTTTAGAAAATAAATTCAAATGCCTCTTTTTCACCTCTTTTTAATGGTATAGATCTAACATTTAAAACTTCCGAGACTTTAGAAATAATTTTTGAAAACATAGAAGATAATAATGTATATTTTGTCAAACTATGAGGGTACTAATGCTATTTATCTTTATTACTCCCTACGTCCCGGAAAACATGGAAGTTTTGGTTTTGGAGAAGGATTTAAGGAGAGTGTATTTTGGTATTGAATTTCCAAAAATGTCCTTTGATGTGATGGGTAAAAGTATGATTTGATGGATAGATTATTACGGAGTAGTAAAAAGGTATGATGTGATAGGTAGGGTATGAAAAAGTAATGGGTAAAAGTGATTTTTTAATAGAAATGAGAAGTGTTTTGTGGGACGAATGAAAAAAGAAAGGAGAACGGTTTTCTGAGACGGAGGGAGTATTATATTCATGGTAAAATAATTAAGCAGGTGTAGTTACTTACCATCATCGTAAAAAAAAGTCATCATACTCCTTCCGTCTCCAATTTGATTACAATTTTCTTTTCTCTCCTCTCGATAATTTTTGTTTGTTTACGCAATTTCATTAAGTATTTGATAAAATAAAATATTCTTGCCACCTCTTGTTTTGTAGAATTTTTGACGTAATGTTTAATATGTACTACAAATTTGTAAATAAAATAATTTAAAAAGTAAGATATTTCTCCTCATAAACCTCAATTTGTAATCAAATTGGGGACCGGGGGAGTATAAAAAAACATTCCATATACAAGATTTATAGAGACAATCATTAATGACACTAATGATAAAAGGAAAAAAAAAGGCTAAAATTCACCATTGGTCCTTCAACTTTATTAGTTGTGCACGATTGGTCCTTTAAGTTTCAAAAATCCATAAATAGTCCTTCAACTTTATGAGTTCTGCACCATTGGTCCTTCAAGTTTCAAAAATCCATAAGTAGTCCTTTAGATACACGTCAGCCCTTCATATGAAGCCCTTTTGACAGTAAATATTAAAAGTTAAACGAAATACTAATTTCATATAATATGAATAAATTCCACTAGGTACGACTACTCCGTATTATATGAAGCTAGTATTTCATTTAGCTTTTAACATTTACTGTGAAAAGGACCTCATCTGGAGGGCTGACGTGTATTTGAAGGACTATTTATGCACTTTTAAAACTTGAAGGACCAATCGTGCATAACTGTATTTCAACTTCTTGATAAATACTTCAAAATTTTGAACTTCCTGGTTAGCACGTGTTAACTATTTCAACTTCCTGGTTACCACCTCAAATCGGTTCCTTTTTTGAAAGTGACCTCCATACATTAAACTTGGCTTATCTCACACAGTTTTAAATCCCCACATTTGCTTGGCTTAGCCTCGCTTATAGTTCTATAAACTTTTTGTATTTACTTAATTTTTTCGAATACGAGTTCGAATCTGAATATGAGACGAATTAAAAATAAGATTTGAATTTGGATTTGAATAATATTCGAATACTTAACGAATCCTAAATGAATATTTTAATAATCATATTGCGTAATTTATATGATAGACCAACATAGATTTTGAATAATTTAACTTACAATACTTCTTATACTATATCTAAAAACATTAATACATTTTCACCTCACACAAATTATATTTTATAAAATATAACTATTAAGAGCTTGTTTGGGAGTGATTAACTTCTGAATAAAGTAATTTCTACAAAAGCTGAAAGCAAAAGCACCTCATACATGCTTCTCCAAAACGGTGTTCTGTGTATAAAATAGAGATGGTGAAAAGCAGAAGCTGACATGCCAAACAAAATAAAATTACTTCCACTCAAAGCAGAAGCTAAATTATTAAAAACAACGCACTACCAAACACCCTCTAAAAATCATATGCTTTAGATTTTGGTGTTACGTTAATTTGTTGAATTCTTAATAATTTAAATACATTTTATACTATATTAGTTTGCTTGACTATATTGATGATGAAACATGGTTTGTGGGTATATACATATATTCGAATTTCGAATATCACCCGAATCAAATATACTCCTATTTGTATTTGTATTTGTTTAATATTCAAATCAAAAATGATATTTGAATTTGAATTTGTATTTGAATAATGCGAATTCAAACCATTATATTCGAATACAAATCACGAATCGAATTAAAAGTATTTGATTTGTTGAATGAGAGAGTTCAAAGTATAGAAGTGTTATAAAAGAACATACAAAAACAAGGCATGGAAAGGATGTAAACCTAAAAAGGTAAGGAAACTTGTAAAGTGAACTCGTGGTTTTATCCTTCAGTAGATTCATACCCAAGCGTTGCACGGTAATAAAAACTTTTTACCGTAAGAAACAATGATAGAGCACTGTGCATATTACAAGTAGAGCTTTGCATCGACATTTCAATTTTCGTGTATTAAAAAAAAGGCCACAAGTCCATAACTGCAAAAACTGGGAATTTGCTTTTAACTTACAAAGCATCTATCCTTGTATTTGATAGGTGATTTGCCTCTTCAGAACCTCATTCTCCTTCCTTAGTTTCATAATCTTTTGCTTCAGTGCGTCCACATGCCGATTCGAAGTTAAATCTTGTCGGGACTCCACAAGTTTTGTTCTGCTGACAGTCACTGAAACCCAAACCAATAATTTCTATGAGAGAGATTACAAAAAAAACATCTGTTCTCCACAACTATAGACACCATAATTGAGTTAAAAAAGGAGGAAGTTCAGGAACGAGTATAGAGCACGATCGTTTCCTTACGGTTGGGTCACTCACATTCCTTTTCCAAATCTTGGAGCTTCTTACTTAACTCAGCTTTCTCTTCTTGCTCAACCAAGAGACAATCCTTCAGGCCCTGAATCTCGTAATGATCTGCAGTATATGTTTTTAGACGAAATGTAATCAGGTTAACCGAACTAACTCAGCGTCTCAGCCCCATGAAAGCCAAGGGAAAGAGAGCAAATAAGTGTACTTGTGTAAGTTAAAATCCTACATCTAGACTCTACATCAGAAGTGACTTGTTCTAATCTCCTTGTCAAAGCTTCGATGTGGTTCTTATGCACAGTTAAATCTTGGTGAAGATGATTAAGAGCTGCTTCACTAGCCACCTTTTCAGTCTGTAACTCTCTAGACAATGCAATCAAAATCAAGCATCAAATAATTTGGAAATTTTGTTTCATCGAATTTAAAATGACTTCATGAAGCACTGTTTGAAAACAACGGGAGGGTAACTGACCTGATTTGACTTTCCAGATCTTGAATCCTCATTGTGTTCTCATGTTTGAGGGACAAAATAGCAATCTTAAACTCCTAATAACAAGTAATTACTTTAAGATACATAAATCACTTGGTACCCTTTTTTTAAGAATTTGTCCTCCGATGATACACAATGGAGAAATGCATTGGTCTACTCCAAAGTCACGATGACAGCTTAAAATGGTGAAAATATAAGTAATGGCAGTGTTTGAGTTTACATACCCACATACCCTTCAAGAAGTGGTATAGATGTGCATTAACTCACATTTTCTTTCTGGGAATGCTCATCACTTAGTTTCTTCAATTCATCATTCAAGATCTGGCAGCTAGTTCGGCTTTCAATCTGTCGCCTCATTCAAATTATTCACAACAAAGCGGCTTCTTCAATGTGTTTATGTAAATAGATTCTATAATTTACTCCCTTCGTAGTAAACATCTATTCATAGATAAAGTGAGCACTCAGTGATATACAACATTTGAAAATCTGGAAACTCTATGATCGCATGTCATTAAATATATGCATATGGGGTAACAGTATATCACAAATGGGTACGAAAACCAGGGATTTTAAGAAGTAACATAACCACATGTTGAACAAACAAATACTCCCTCTGTCCCATGCCAAAAGGCATAACACGAATAACAAAGTTAAACCCCACACTTTTTAAAACCATTTTATTTAAAAACTAGTATTGAAATAAAAAATAAAACGTACATGTTTAAAAATTATATCAAAAGTTCTACAAAACAAGATATGACATGACTATTTTATTTTATCAAATGATCAATGAACACATAAAGAAACAAAAGTTATCTATGAAATTGAAATAGTGACTTGTGCCTTTTGACATGGAGGGAGGGAGTATGCTGCTATGTTTCGGATGGTATATAGAAGACTTTAGTGTGGAAATAACTTACGGTATATAATATACGCTGAAGCCAACATCTCCTCAATATCTGTTGTGATATTTTACATTATTCTATAGTAAATGGAGTGTCAGAGAATTCATTACCTCTCCTATTTTTCATAAGAACTCAACATCCCCTCAATATTTGTTATTATATTTTATAATATTCTATAGCTTCTCTACATTCACCTTCTTTATCTAATGTAAATCAAAAAATTATCCAATCGTCCATCATCCCATGAAGGATACAATATCTAGGCATGGTAAATTTTCATAATAACATCTGGCCACCATGAGCCATTCAAATTAAATGTTCGGCCCGATATCTTCAAAAAAACAATATTCTAGTACTCGAGGAGATAGAAGAAAATGTGGGCAACTTTGTAAATAATCACTCTGGTAATTCAAATAAATCTCATCTCTGCCTCTATTCAACTCCCTTGTCTCCGTCCGCCATAGCTACTTCGATTGAAGCCCTAGCATAGCCCTTCTCTTCCGTCTCCCTGTCCCTAACCAAACAAGGGGATGGGCTCCCTCTCCACCCCTTTTCCCATTCCCTCCCTCCCATTCATCCGCTCCCCTCCTCTTCCTCCAAACCAAATAGGCCCTAATACAACCAGCCACAACTAGTTGGGATTGTGGTGATGATGGTGGACTAGTTGGGAGTGTTTTTACCATTCTAGAAATCCCTCTTTCATATCTATGAAATTCCATGTGGGAAAACAAGATTTTAACTATATCTAGCCTAAGCAAAGATTTTTTTACTTTGACGAGCGAAAATAAATACACATCCAATACTTTGAAATAAGAAAAAAGGAAACCACAAGTGTGCAAAAAATATCCAAGGTATCTACATAAAATGGAAAGAAAGAAAAGAAAAGAAAATTATAATCTTTAATTGTGCAAGAGAATAAGCTTAGAGTATAACTTATTGAGGAAACTTACTAACTGCACCAAGACAAGTTAGATTCTTAACATAATTGGATTTTATAAAATTTGTAAGACTTGTTTAAAAAATTGAACCTGGTCTGCCAATTTGTTAAATGACTCAGCATAAATTTTTCTCAGCCGCTCATTTTCTGCACACAAAAAAACAAAAAAAACAGAATTAAGTTTTAAAATATACGCATGGAACAAATTTTAGATAGAATTCTATAAAAAAAACAAAAGGAAAAAACATGGATAACGAAGGTTAATACTGTGAAACAGATGGCACATAGAGCAGATGAGTGTTTGGTGTTAGTCTATTACAGAAAGCAATTGTAATGATTTCATTCTTTCAAAAAAAAAATAGAGTATGGAACAAAAAGTATTTTGTAGCATTAGACATTTGTAAATGGATGCAACTTCCTTTAATAATTGAGAACTACTTTTGTCAAAAAGAATATGGGAATTCAGCCTATACCACAAAATCTAAATATGCTAAGAGGCTAAGGGGATAGTTAATTTTCTTTGTGTGTATCATCACTATCATGCTTCTTTGTACTTAAATACGGAGTATTCAATAAGCCTTTATAATTACTACTATAAAATTATTCTTATTATTATTACGGTTCGTGTATAAGACCTTTTTTGGGCTACAACCATACCACAAGCTTGGGCTTTTGGAGAAATTGGTCCTTTGACATGGTATAAAAGTCAAGCCAAGAAACCAACTCAACCAAAAGCTCAAGTTTATGGTTGTAGGCTCATAAAGGTTTTATATGTATTCAAGGCTTACACGTGAACACTAATTTTTTTTAAAACTGGGTGGTGGTGATGTTTGAACTTTCAATCTCTAGGTCAGCAAGACCTAAGGAACCAATTGAACGAAAAGCTCAAGCTTGTGGTAGTAGGTCCATTAAAGGTTTTTATATTCTAACAATTACTACTACTGTCAATATTGAGTATTAATATTTTCATTATTTTCATAATGAAAAAGCCAAGCAGGCAGCAAGTCATCAAATGGAAATTTCAACATATCGTTCCATTTTCATAACTAAATGTCAAGAAAACAATATTAAAAAATCATAAAAATTGGCACAACCGCAACATACTGAGTACCAAATACAGTACCTTTTCCGACATTTAGCCTTCATTTTTTGTATTTTTGTTGTATCCTCAACATCTATTTATATACTCAGGCATAATGGATAGTCATAATTTATAGGATAGAATGAAATCTTACGATTTAACAAGGTATCTTCAATATAATCAGTACACCTGAGCACTAAAATGATAGGGGATATAATGAAACCACAGCCGTCATTTCTTGTGTGACACTTCCAGTTTTCATTGAACAATACTTATCCAACCATCAAACTTGCACTACACAAAGATCTAGAGTGAAATTTTTGTTCATCATCCGCAACCATAAACCGGCACTGAATAGTCTCCTCTTATCGTCAAAAATTTCAAGAATAGTTCGTGCTTCATGGCAATGCTCTTGAAAATTTTTCACACTTTTCCACTAATAGAAAGAAATATTTAAGCAACAGTTTTGAGACCAGATTCATGTTTTAATATGAAGACAATTTATAAAAGAGTACCACCCAATTTATACAAAAGATAACCACTCAATAATGGTAACAATGATATTGATAATCTGACACTGACAAGAGACTAAAACGTCAACCAAATGTGGAAGTATAAAAAGAAGAATCACTCAGATGATAGAATAAGGAAGTGTCCTTCAAAAACCTGCATATTTTTCTCTCAACCTACAGAAAGCAATCTGTAAAATAGGCAAGTCTTTTTTATTCTTAAGTTTGTGAGTTCTTATTGTGCTAATATAGCCCGTCCTCACCCCTAACCCATCAAAACTGAACAGAGGAAATATGAATTATGAAGCCCTGCAACAAATTAGTCCAGCTAGAGTAAATTTCTAACGATTTTGTAAATATTCTTGCAAAGAAAACAATGATTAACTAAAATTATTCCCTAATCTTTGCAGATTATCTATTGTAAGATTTATTTCCAAATTTTATTCACATGTTAATGCCACCCTCGTTGGAGCTATTGGTTTTGAGATAATTTGTCTTTATTTTAGTCCACAATATACTTAATACCCAAACCACCATGATGCAACGGTTGTGTTACAATATCTCGTTTAGTCAAGTGATACTTCTTTGCACAATTTGGTAAGTACTGAAGTATCAAACCGGCAAGTCACTTCTAAATTTTATCTGCAATTTGACATCTTTTTAGTGAGCGCTCAAAGAAGAACCAAGTATTCCATTGAATAAATCCCAAATTACTATAGCTTATAACCTCTGCCTCCAGATTCTGCAGTAAATTTAATCACTCCATGGTGACTTCCTTGTTGCATTTCTAGATTCATGTTTTTTCAAAACCATGGTCAACGATAGGTTTCATTCAAATTTGAAAAAGAGTACTTCCTCTATCCCATATTAGTTTTGCCTATTTGACTTTTCATAGCCTTGGGTGATACATTTTGACCTTTACTAACTATATTTGTAAATAAATAAATGTAGTAAGAAAATGATCAATCAAACCTCTGTACAACAATATCATTTGTTTAAAACTTTTGTAGATGTTATATCAAACGACTTAAATACATCTATAACAGCATGATCTTATAAGCATATAACATGGAGTTATACACATATAACAACAAGCTGTTACAAATAACAGATGGCCAAATACTTAATTTTTCACTTTTTTGTATTGTAGACATGCTGCCTCCATCCCAATGTCTTTATTTAGTTTGACTTTTTGTAGTCAAAATAGAAAAAAATTGATAATCAATTAAATAAAAATTACATTACATATTAGTACAACATGATTTAATTAGATTTATCTAATATAAAGTCGGATAGCAAAAAATCAAATTAGAGAAACACACCAGTACGAATGGAATATTTTCTTGAGTAAATAAAAAACTACAGGTGTATCTTGTTTTCTAGATTCTAACTTTTTAACAATTGTAAATTTTTTGAATTCGCGATTCATATTTTGTGCCACAAGGAGTAAATGCATAGTAATAAAGAGGTGATTCATATTTTGGGCCTTAAGGAGTAAATACTAAGTATTAAAGAGATCACATCATTTAAAAAACATTATTCATATATATATTGGGTATGATACTGAATGAATTGCATTAAATGAAGATAGGCTATCATGAAAGGTTACTTTACAAAGACAATACTAATCCAATTGTGGATGTTGCTTTTCAAAATATAAAGTTGTTATAGAGAGACAAACATATGCAAGAAAAAACTTTTCTAAAAGAATAAGGTTGTTACAGTGAATTGTCGTTATATAATATTCTTGTTGTAGAGAGCTTTGACTATGTTTCAAAATAAAAATGAATTTAATAACATTACATTTGCAATATAACTAAATGTAATTCATCAACAAATTTTGGTAAAGTCTATAAACTTTGACAAATGAAAGTGATACAGGCAAAATAAATTGGGATGAAGGGAGTAATAGAAATTCTGGTTTTAGTGTTAGATAGGATGGTTGGTAAGGAGAGGATTAACTATATTTCAAAACTACATTTAAAAGTGAATCTAATAACATTAAATTTACAATATAACTAGTTGTAATTTATCAACAAATTTGGTAAAAACTGTATTCAAAAAAATTAAACAAAGACAAATTCAAATACTTAGGTATTCGACTCTATTCGATTTGTTTACAACCCTAGCCCGGCTAGGCGCAACCTCAACATAGGCCTTGCAGTGCTTCACTTCTAGGACATCACGGCCCAAAGTTCTTTCACATGAGTTGAGCCTCACTTTCAGGCTACGCTGATCCGACCACATTTCACACAGGTTTCCCCTAAAAGTGGAACGGGCCTGGCATCTTGGGCTTAAGTATAGTTGCATTAATAAACTGGGTCAGGTGTATAAGTGTATTGAGCTAACTCCCAATATACCTATCAACTGCAGTTAAATAACAAATAGCCTCTACTACTTAAGTCATGTTTAATCCCTGTGAGTCTGTGAAGTAAATGCATTACGGTATACTAAGCATATTATAGCTACGATGAAAAGAATTACTTATGATGCACTACATGTTAAGTATTACCTTAATCACATGATGCTGTATAAGAATTTCTTAGTAATCCATGAAGTAAACATGTCATATGTGCTAAGTGTTTGTTTGCAAACCTACTATGAAGAATTTTCACAACATAGGACTTCCCGTGAGTTTGCGATGATTCAAGATATACAAACACAAAACACAATTGAAGCAGATCATAATCACGAGGGCTTTACAATTCATCTTGCCCAACCAAATGACTGAATAGATGTACACTGTCTTACCTTGTTTTTACACAGAGAGTTTCCAGCCTGACTGAATTAGTAAGGTAGTTAATCTAATTTGCAATCAAAATTGGGACAGAAGGAGTAATAAATTAGTGCTTCCTTTCTCTACTAGTGTAACTATTGATGCTTCTTAATTACCGATCTTACCTTGGTCTCTTCCATTGGTGGCAATCATTCCTATATAAACTTTGTCGATAATTACGCTAACTTTTTGTTGGTTCAACCCAATTAAATATAAATGTGACACCGTTAAAAAAAATATAAATGTGACATTTTTTGGGGCTTTTCAAAGTTTCCAACTATGCTACAAAATCAATTTCGTAAAAGCATCAAAATCTTCAAATTGTTGAGATTATATGTACAACGTAAATAGACTAATTAAGTTAGATATAGGCATAAAACGTATAAAGTAACTTGGATCCGGGAATGAATTATAACTAACCAGATTGAAGGTTTTTTAATGTTAACTGGATAGCATCTCTCTTCTTCACTTCGGCGTTGTAGTTAGATTTCAAAGTTTGAATCTCAGCAATGGCGTTAGTAAAATCCTGAAGTTTCAATATAAAAAAACAAAATGATTAACGGGAAGTGAACACAATAGCGAACGTCATACGGATGTAAGGACATACAACACAGATCTGATCGAAGCTGGAAGAGATGGACTGGATTGCTTCCTCGCTTACTGCCGCCATTGCCATGACGGTCCTTTGGACAGTCGTGTGTTATTGCCAGTGAGAATTAAGGAGAATCAAATTAATATGAGTCAAATCATTACATAGGGTCACATGGAGATGGAAGGAAGAGTAAAATGGTTTATTTGGTTTAAAAATTGGAATTTTGTAATTCTTTTTGGGACAAGAATGAGAGAGAATATTATACTCAAGATAAAACTCGGAGAGAGTAATTTTTTAAAGTTATTTTAGTTACTAACTATTATCACACCTTGTGTTGCACGGTTCATATTAATACTTTTTCCGTCTTACTTTAGATTACAATATTCTTTTTTTGTTGAAATTAAGGAAGAGTCAAATCAATTTTTTTTCCCCAAATTACCCCCAAGTATACTTCCCACTCACATGGATGAATAGTGTGTGAATAGTGTAGGAGTGGGAGGGTAAAAGAGTCAATTCCTTGTAAAGTTATTGACTTTGTAATTCTTTTTGGAACAAAAATGTGAGAAAATATTGCAATCTATTTCGGCACGGATGGAGTATTATAAAATTTTGTAGGCATTGTTAAAAAGTAAACAAATATACAAATATAATGTCCTTCCGTCCAGAAACATCATATACTCTCTCCGTTCAAAAATAATCTTTTTATTCTAAATTTTGTTCAATCAGAAATAATCTTCTTATTCAACCTTTTAACACACAAACTATCTTTTCTTTCTTTACCTTCTTTTCCACTTCCATTTCTTTTCTTCTCTCTTCCCCCGGCTGTTCTTATTCTTCTCTATCTCTCTCTCTTCTCTCTCCCCCATTGCTCTTCTTCTGTTCTTCTCTCTCTCTCTTCACTCTCCCCCCATCTCTTTTCTTCTTATTCTCCACCTTTTCTTATCTTCCCCTCCCCATTATTTTCTCGGCCCCCTTTTTTGTTCTTTAGATTTATTCCTTCTTCTTTTCCTTTTTCTTCTTTCTTATGTTTGATTGTTTTCGAGAGATCTACGACAGATTTGTTCTTTGATATGGCGGCGATGCAATTGGGAAAATTTGTATGACTTTCTTCAAGGGGTGAGGTATTCTTTCCTCTTTCACTACTTCCTCTCTTTGTTTTGCTTTTATGTTAATTTTCTTGGGATTTTTTTTGTTAACAAAATAGAAAGGGAAGGGAGATTGATGACTAGAATGAGTAATTTGAGTGATAAAAAAGAGGGTTAAGAATTGGCAATGGATAAAAGATTTAGATCTGAGATTTTGCTATAGTGAATTGGAGAAAAATAACTGTCATTTTTTTGCTTGATTTTGAGAAGGAAAGATGTCTTCAGAGAGTTTTTTTTAGAAGCTGCCGATCTTTAGAAGCGTAGAGAATTTTAGGTCACCAAGGGATATCATGTTGAAATATTACAATAATAATGTTGCTCATTGAATAATGTTGCTCATTGAGTTATACTCCGTATATAGAAGAAATTTCTAACATAACTAGGAATAAAGAATGAGACTAACTAAAATACAACACCTATTACAAAATGTACAAAAAAGAGATTAAAAAATGTAAAAAAAAAACATTGTAAAAAAATTGTACAAATTGTTGCCAGCAGGAATGAGAATGTAAAAAATGTAAAAAAACATTGACTATTGTACAAATTGTGAACAACAAAAAATGTAAAAAAAATTGTTAAAAAAAGAGATTAAAAAAACAAAAAAAAAGTGAAAAAAAACATGTTGCTGCAGGGATGAGAATCAGAGGAGATGGACGGAAGGAATGAGAAGAAGCCGGCGAGGATGAGGAGAAGGAAAAGGCGTCGCCGGCAGTGATGAGGCTAGGAGAAGCTTGCGGAGGGAGACGGACGACTGGGGAGGAGGGAGACGGACGGCAGACAGCTACGGAGGATGAGGAGAAGCCGGCGGAGGGAGAGAGGAGTCGCCGGCGGTGGTGGAGACTCCGGCGGTAGAGGGTCGTGCACAGGGCCGAACGGAGAGATTGGGAAGCTAAGGGAGGCGGATAGGTAGGTTTTGAGATGCATCGTAATTGATGAGAAGATGTAAGAATCTGTTGGTTTTAGACCTGTTCAAACAAGGGTCGGCCCGTTCGGCCCGCCCAGCCCGCCTTTTAAAAAGGGTGGATATGGACAACCTTTAATACTCAAATGGGCGGGCCAGCCCAAGCCCGAATTGTATATAGGCGGATCTGGAAGTTACTTTTAGCCCATCTGGGGCAACAAGCCCGCCCATATTTATCAAATATATTTACTTTACTATTAATTACCTAGCCAATATAAATTTTAAAATTTTCTATAATTCATGTATAATAGTTTAATTCACTCACCTCTTTTAAACAAAAATCAATACTTTTTTAATGAATCAATATCATGGGTTTATTAATTATGCAACAAAGACTTAATTATGCTTTCGATATAAATGTGGTGACTGATTATTTTATTTTAAACATTAAAAAAGAGTTCAATGTTTTTTTTTTAAGTTTTTTGTACAAAAAAAGTTCTTGATGTTTTATCCGGGCTGGGCGGCCCGGTGGGTAGTTCGGCCCGCAAAGATGGGCGGGTATGGGTAAAGAATTTAGCCCATCAAATCCGGGCCGGGTATGGCCCGCCCATGTAAATGGGCTAACAATTTATATCAGATCCGGCCCGGATCATTATTTTCACAGGTCTAGTTGATTTATGTCTGCTTCAGGAAGATGTTTGGAAGACGTTTTTAAGTGGTTTGTCTTCTAAAAAACAAACAGTCTGCATGTCCCTAATATCTGCCCACGTCCCCTGCACGGTGCAGACATAAGTGGTTAGAAGCTCTTCTCACCAAAAAAACAAACACCCCCTTAGTCACAGTGGTTGAGTGCAGAGGGAAGCCGCAGCAGCAGCCATGGCCACGCCTGTTGAAAAGGTAAAAGTTGAGGAAGGAGAGCCCTGCGACAAGACCAACGCGCTATCCCGAAAGATTGACCGGTTGGCGCGCATCATTGAGTTCACCGAGTTCGCTCAGCAACCTGACGCGGTTCGCCGAATCGTTCGTTCGCAGTACTCCTCCATTCAAAAATCATCAACGGTGGGGCACGATTTCTGAATATTCTCTTTCTTTCGTTCGTTTTTAGATTGACAGTAACTTTGACTTTGCGCGGAATGGCACTTCTAAATTGCTGAAATTGAAAAAATATACGCTTCAAATTTCCAAATATTCTCATCTTCTAAAATCAATTTTATCTTGAAAATAATAAGAAATAATGAAATAAATAACATATTGTTAACTTTTACAGCGGGAAAAATAAAATACTCCGTAATAATAATCTGAACTTATGAACCGTTCGGATTTTACAATTAAAATAAAAGAAAACTGAAACTATTTTCTGAAAATATAGCTTAGGAAAGCGGAGTCGCCGAAGCTTTCTTAAGGTAGTATTGCCCGCCTCCCGCACTGGCAAATTAAACATGGGCAATCTCCTCCCAGGATAAAACCGCAGCGTGCAAAGTCTAGAGCGGTAGAACAAAGCACCAGCAAACGAGAACGACAGGAAGTTATTTCCGGAGAAGATGTGCAGAAACATGGAGTAGTCAGAAAGATTTCAGTAATGCAGCGACGTTTTCAGGTGTCCTCTTCCGTGCAGCCAAGCCCTCCTTTTATAGGAGGGAAGTTGGCTCTTCGCTGGACCTGTCGGAAATTACGAGGAGTCGAATGACTCTTCGTTCATAAGTGCATGCATGCTATAACTCCCATCACGCGTGTTTGATTCAGTCTTGTAAAAAACTAGCCACGCCGCAGACGCGGGTGCGCCGTGCCCCGCCGCGCGCGTGTCGCGACGTGCCAAGCCGAATGGACGGGCGGCGGCGGCGCACGAGAAGTCATTTTCTTGTTCCTTTCAAAAACTCAATTAAATGCCTAAGCTTAAATATGAGAATACGAAAGGTTCAAAAACCGGTGTGGGACAAGGGTTTTACTTTTCCCTCATATTTAATTTTGAAAATTAATTTCTCATTCACCCGAGCACAATTTATGGCGTATAATATGTCAAAACATTGATCTTACTTACGAGATTAAACGTCTATAATTATTTCGAAAAATAATTTCGTGGACCCTACCGAATTTACGTCCGAAAATATCCAATTTATCTAAAAATTTCCAACATATATAATGAAATAATATAATGAATAGAAACTAACTTGAAAACGGTAAGAAATAAAATAAAAATATACAACGTGGTGTGTTTTAACATTTTACGCAGTATACAAAATATTAATATAATGTATCACTTCTTACCTTTTAGGAAAAAATATGCACAATATTTTTAAGTTTATTTATTTTATCAAAAAAAATTCTCCCTCAGTCACAAATTATTTGTTACCCCGTAGTACATTTCAAAGGAAGAGATTTTTTATTTTATAAAATGGTAAATTAAAACTAAAGTTATGGAAATGGCGAAAATACAATTGTTCTGTTGTCAGGGTTTGAGCACAGTGACTTGTGCAGCGTTTTCAAATTTCAAAAATTCCATAAAGTCACAGTTGTTGAGTGCAGGGTGAAGCCGCCGCAGCAGCCATGGCCACGCCTGTTGAAAAGGTAAAAGTCGAGGAAGGAGAGCCCGGCGACAAGGCCAACGCGCTATCCCGAAAGATTGACCGGTTGGCGCGCATCATTGAGTTCACCGAGTTCGCTCAGCAACCTGACGCGGTTCGCCGAACCGTTCGTTCCCAGTACTCCTCGATTCAGAACATCATCAACGGTGGGGCACGATTTCTGAATATTCTCTCTTTTTTTCGTTCGTTTTTAGATTGACAGTAACTTTGACTTTGCACAGAATGGCACTTCTAAATTGCTGAAATTGAAAAAATACACGCTTCAATTTTCCAAATATGCTCACCTTCTAAAATCAATTTTATCTTAAGATAAAATAAACTCCATTAATAACTTTCTTTTTTCGTGTTATCAATCAATTCCCTTCTCTTATTTCTTTGAGAGATGCTAGGTACACCACCCTCTTCCTCACCACTCATATTTATTTATTTCCTTTTTATTTTACATGCCAAAGTGTGTGGCAATGGGGTGGTGTGCATTTGGGATACACTTTTGGTATACCCCTAGTATTTTTTGTATTTTTTTTATTCAAAAAATAAATTTCAACCAGTCTTTCATTTATTTTATTAAAAAAAGTGTTGACACAAAGAGTTTGACACCAAGTGTTTTTATTTAGAAAAATGCTAGGGTCCATTTGTCCCCACTCCCTCCTCCACCACATAAATAGGCAAAAACTTCAAAAAAAATTAAATAAATAAAAATTAAATAAAAATGAGTAATGCAGAAAAGGGTGGTGGACAAATGGGTACCTTTGTGTACCCTAGCATTGCTCTTTTATTTATGCACAAACGTGGTTAGACATTGTGTGTTTGTCATAGACAATGATTGTATGGTGGGTTCCTAGCATGATGTTTTTTTATTGATTATCTTTCACTTTTAATCCTTGGAGTCACACTTTCAAGTTGATTTCGATGTTTTTTTTTCCTGAGAAAAAACAGAGAGAAGCTATGACATTGGGAACTCTGAATCAGAGAGGTTCAAGAAAATCTTGGGCGACGTTGAAGGCTTGTTTCGGAGTGGTATGTTTTTCTCCTCTGTTTTGTTTGACTAGATATAGTGCTGCACTTATAAGGAGTTCCAAGCAGAGTTTTCTTATAATAACATTACACTGCTCCTCAAGTTTTTTACTTTTCTATGGTATTAAAGTCTTATAAGCTCAAACAAATATTTTGATTCAACCACACTCAACAATGAGTGCCCGGATTTTCATATTTTGTTTTACAAGTTTCACATGGACATGTCCAAATCCCTTAATATTACTCCAATTTAGTTCTCCACTTTCTAAAAAAAGATATTATTTTAAAAGTTTAATGAAATGAGTTTAAAATATCGAATGAGTCTAGTTATTACAAATTGATGGCAGCAATGCTTATCCCCTATCTCTATTTTTTGTTGAATATGGAAAGTATACAGGTGATTAAGAGCGTGGACAACTTAAAATAGATATAGGGATTACAATACAAACAGACACAAAATGCTTTAGCCAACTACTCTTATAAGTTTGAGCTTTTGTTTCAAAAGTTTCTCCTTTCCTCAGTGGCAAGGCCACGTGAACAGGTGGCGGATGCAGAAACGGTGTTTGGACTTATCGGCACATTGGTGGATTCTGTCAAGTCTCATCTTAAGGGAAGTGTTACACCGGCAGAATTCGTGTCCTGTTTTCTTAAAAACTATGGGAAAAAAGGGGGAAGTCGTAAGAATGCAGGGCATGAAGTACCCTGGAAAGAAATTGGGTGTGTTGTTTCACCTGTTTTCATGGATGGTTCTGGTTGCAAGACAATGTATGTGTGTCACTCTCTGAAGAATTTGATTGTGTGCTTGTGAGACGGGTGGTGAACTTTTTTTTTATATGACATTGTAAGTGAGTGTTTGGCTTTCTTTCTCAGGCTTGGGCCAATGAATTATAAGATTAAGCTTGAACAAGTGGATTATAAGATCAAGCCTGAAGCATTGAATTATGTTATCAATCTAAGAGGGATCAGAAATCTGAGAAATGAGATTAAGAGGGCAAGACGTACTGCATATGCTTGCCCAACAAAGGTTCGGTTCTTTTCTTTTTTTTGTTAACTTCAACTTTCTCGCATATGTTGTTTTCTTCTGATTGGCACCGGTTTTTAAATTACAATGGAGTATTATGTTAATGAGTTGATTTTTAAAATAGTGTATTTCCGTTTAGAAACATTTTATAGAGAATTTTGTTTGACGGAAAACAATACTACCAAAATTTCTACCATTGGTTTTAAGTGATATGTTTTGTCTCTATATTTTCTAGTTGATCTGTCTATCGCCGATTGCTTACATCATTTATTCTTTTTCTCCTTCAACAGATCTCCAATAGCACTCCTGAGTGGAAATCCAATACCGAAAGGAATGTTTTTTTAATGTTTGAGGTTGTTGAAAAGAAGAAAAGTGTTAAGCTTGAAAATCTTGTCCTGAACAAAATTTCCTATGCTCAGACCATTGAAAACATATTTGCGCTTTCCTTCCTGGTTAAAGATGGCAGGGTTGCTATAAGCCTGGCAGAGAATGGCTCCCATTTCGTCTGTAAGATGAACAATCTCATACTGTATATTTTTATTCAGCATATTGAAAATTTAAGGAATAAAATATCCTCCCATGGTCCCATTTTTTCAAATGCTTTTAAGAAATACAAAATTCGCAACTTCTGACTATTCATGACATCTTTTTTTTCCTTCGGATTTACAAGCAAACTTTTGGTGCATAAAATGTACTCCCTACGTCCGGATTCTGTTCACTTGTTTTCATTTGTTCGTAAGTGGTTGTCTATTCTGTATCTCAGCTACAAGGTCTGCGGGAGCATGTCCGGTTCCTCCCAGCAATGCGGTTAACCAAACTTCTATCTTCAGATTCGATTACATAGATTGGAAGGTAGTATTAAAAAAACTTTATTGTGCCTACAACTACAAACTTGAGCTCTTTTGGTTGAGTTGGTTTTTTTTGACAGTTCTGGTTCCTTTAATTGACATTGATTCATTAGCTCTCTTATGATAAATCCTTCATTATTTCATTGGCAGATGATGTTAGATTTTGTGCCCGAAGGTGAAGAGCTGCTGATGCCACACAGGGTTTCCTAGAGGACTGAGTACCCATTACAAGTGCCACCAACACTTTTTGTCTGTAAAATATAACTCATTTGTCGGGAACCCGACAATGTATAGCGTTTTTTGTGTTGTAAGTTGATGCATCTTTAAACAGGTCTCCTTCCCATATGGAGATTTCTTTGTCTTTGGCCACCTGCTGCTGAAGCTGCCGCCATCCAGTTCTCAAGCCGCTGATGTTTTTTTGTAAGTAAGCTTTATTTGCTGAATGAATGGCGGTGGTTGGGTTTTTTGCATTCTCTCAGCAGAGTATGAGATGCTATGTAAATTTAGGGATGCTGCTATGTAAATTTTGGGGAAAATATGATGAAATTTGATCATGGCTTAAATTTAGTATTTTGATTCACTCAAAATAAGAACATAATATAACCCTTATGCCCGAAATAAGAGTGAAAAGGTTTTATCTCAAGATAAAACTGTTATTGCATTATGAGAGTCTATTCTCTTCGTTGATTTGATTGATCTAATCTGTTTTTTTTAGATTTGATATGATATGATTTGATCGATTCTAGTTATAGTTAAGTTTTTTTTATAATATGATATGATTTTGATAAGAATAATATTCTGTAAGTAATAAGAATAAGTTGAGAAAACATGCTCCAAATCATATTTTTGTCTTGTTAAATACAATATGTTTTAATACTATCATTTGGCCTAGATTCTCCATGAACTATGTAAATATTACATTTATCTCAGTGTATTAGTCTAATTTGACTTTTTCGAGTCAAATTGGATGAATTTTAGATCTCAATTATATAAAAGTTATAATTTATATTAGTACTCCCTCCGTCACGGGAATTTATATTTATTTGTGTTTTTTCATGGCTTATATGATAAAATAAAATATTTTTGTCAGCACTTGTTTGTTGAACTTTTGATGTAGTTTTTAAATATGTATGTTTTATTATTTATTTCTATACCAATATTTAAATAAAATACATTGAAAAAAAACTTGGGATTTTTCTTCGTTTTGCGAACTGGGAAGATCATTATAGGACGGAGGGAGTATAAAAATAATTTTAATACATTTATATCTATGACTTTCAAAATTTTATTTCATCGTATTAATATAAACCCTGCAATGCAATTTGAGAGCAATCAATAATCTAATTTCAAGAAGTCAAACTTGAAAAATGCATTGTGATGAAATGAATATTTTATTTTACTTTATGAACTCCCGATAGGTTTCTCTTTGCTATTACCGTACAAACATCAGAACAATTCTCCTAGTTAAAGGAGAGTATTGATTCGGTTACTCACACTTAGGGGTGAGCAATTTAACCGAACCGACCGTTCAACCGGTGCTAAAAAACTGAACCGACCTAAAGTTCGGTTTCGGTTTTAAAAATCTGAAAAATTCGGTTTAGTCGGTTTTTCGGTTTCGGTTTCGGTTTTGGGTGGTGGTGACCGAAACCGACCGAATAACCGAGCCCAAAATAACTTTATACCTAAAGTCTTTAATATGTGTAAAGTATAAGCCCAATCCAATTTTATAATTTAATACACAGCCCAATCAATATCAGTGTACTAATACAACCCAATCAATAGGGTTAGGCAGTTAGCATCTACGGAATATTTTTTTTATTTGTTCGAGTGTTCACAGGAGAGCCGCCATTGCTAATGGTTGTGGCCCCTTCCTCTGCAGTTTTATCCGTCTTCCAAAGTCGGCCAAATCTTAAATTCGTCTATGGTCTGCCATCGATCGCCATTCAACATAAAGGATAACCCTATTACTCCGTCATCACCAATTCGTCGTAAAGATTCGCACATCGCTTCTTCCATGTTCATCTTCCATTCTTCCATGTATCCTTCAATTTCTTCATCGTCCGTTCTTTCAGTAGCTTGAATTGAAATTATAGTCATTTATGTTAAATTTTGAAATTAATAGTGAGTTTCTGAGAATTTGATTTTTTTGGTAAATGTCGGTTTTGGGAAACCGACCGTAACAGATCGGTTACATAGGTTTTCGATTGCTTCGGTTTCATACCAACTCGATCGGTTTTCGGTCGTTTTTTTTGCAAAAACAATTCGGTTAGTTCGGTTTTCAACCAAAACCGACCGAACCGACCCGATGCTCTCCCCTACTCACACTAACCGATTGAATCGAAACGAATTTGCTTTGAAACCAAATCAACCAAACTGAGTAAAATTGATCGGTTTCGGTCGGTTTGTATAACAAAAATGTTCGATACTACTCCCTTCGTCCCCCAGTTTTTGTCCACTTTTATTTTTACACACCATCCAATGCATTTTTTTAATCCATTTTATCTTGTAATTTGTATATTAAAAAATTATAAAAATTATACTCCGTATATAAATAATCTACTATATGTTAAGACAAATCAAATAAGATCACACATGACTATATTTAGGCTTACACATTGAGATAATTTGATGAGTCAAAGTGCTTAGATGAACAGTTCCAAAAGTCAAAAGTGGACAAAAACTGGGGGACGGAGGGAGTAAAATCTACTGGATTGTGCCAAACATTGAAACAAAAGCTTTACGGATAGGCTTACATTGAAAACTGTGCCAAACATTGAAACAAAATCTACTGGATAGGCTTACAAGAGCTCACCTAACAAAAAAGAACCGTAAAGAAACCCTCGAAGGATCATAAGCTCCTTCGAGGGTTTCTTTACGGTTCTTTACCTCGTCGCGCAGCTCTTGTAAGCCGGCGGCTAGCGCGGCAAATTGTTCTGCGAAGGCCGAGGAATCTGCGGACATAATTGATTCAACAAGAGCACCGTTGATACATTCGTTGATGAGCGTACCGTGATAAGGAAGGCTTCAAGTGCCCACGGACTCCAGAAAACAAGGTGAGGAAGGAAGAGAGAACAAGGTGAGGAAGGTTTGGTTATTAATTTGATGATATATGTGATAATAGGGTTTATCTCTATTTATAGTGAGAGATAATCCCAATCCTAAATTACTACGTTTTCTACCCTGACGGTTCAAGAAAATCGACGAGGTAAAGAACCGTAAACAAACCCTCGAAGGAGCTTATAATTTGCTCACCTAACAAAAATCTAAGTTACAATAATAAATAAATGTCATGATAATAATCAAACATCATGCCGTATAATCCTGTTGCCAAATCGGGGTTCTCCGAACCCTCATGCTTCTACGTGTAACCATAACCGGGCCGTCTCGATCCTCACGCCCTATTTCTTCAATGGGCCTTTCACTCGGCGTGGTTTGATCCGGTAGCACAATGGGTTGTTGCGTAACAGATGTACTATTAGAGAAAAAGTATGATATGATAGGTAGGATATGAAAAAGTAAGGGTAAAAGTGGTTTTTAATAGAAAGTGGAAATGTTTTGTTGGAAGTGAAACAAAATGAAAGAGGAAGTGTTTTTTGAGAACGGAGGAAGTAGAAAATATGAAATAGCTACTGCATGATTAAAGAGAGAAAAGAACTAATGTTAAATTAGTTGTTACTATGTCGACGTGGTCACATATCCATGTTATGCGACCCACTATTGGAATACTGGACAAATACTAAGGGACGGAGGGGGTATTATTTATAAATATATTAATAAAATCAAAGTTTTAAATTTATAATCAAATAATTTCAATTAAAAATAAGTTATATATGCATGTCCAAAGGTAAAAACAATTCCGGGAGTATTTTTTGATATTTAGAATTATGAATGAATTATGAATCTTAGATGGATTATACAAGTAGTTGAAATAATTACTCGGAAAAGCATTCATTAATGGAGGAGTGAAGTATAGTCCGTATATGATACGGAGTAGTCCGTATTAATTATCATACTGAGCGAGCTGCTGCATGCTTTGAGGGTGCGATCTAAAAAGGCGTGGGAGTCGTTTGTGTGTGCCTTTATAACAGATTTGATTGATTTCTGCACCAAAATAGAACGAACCACGACAAAACTCTCTCTCTCTCTCTCTCTCTTAATTAATTCATACAGATTCTCATCGTCCTCATCATCATCATCATCCTCATCCATTACTAATCTGGATTTGAGTACACCATTAATGGCTGCGCCCCACTCCTCCTCAGCTTCTTCTCCACCTCTTCGTCAGGTAGATGAAGATATATATATATATATATATATATATATATATATATATATATATATATATATATATATATATAGTCTCCATACCATAATTAATCAACACTTTGGTTTTATATATGAAGTCTAGCTATTTTGGTTTTTTTAAAAATATGTATTCCGTGGTTTTTTTTTTCGTTTATATATACGGGGAGAAGCCGGATGATCACCAGGCAACACAAGAAAGTGGTCATCGTATCTCGGGACTGAATTATAGTAGAAACGCTAGCAATGGAGGAAAGCCCCCAACGAAGATAACATGGTTTCTAAGACGTTTCAAGAAGAAAAAAACCGGCGGTTGGACCTCAGCCACTTTCTTGCTAGGTACGTTCTTAGAGTGTTTTGATTCCCTAATAACTAACTAGGTTTTGATACGATGGATGTCAAGAGAAACCAATTCAACCAAAAAGGGTACTCGAGCTTTTAATCATGATTGGCAATGTATTGACACATTAACTAGCTAGATCTATATCCTCCATGATTTATATAACTTGTTTCTTGGGGAATATATGTATGTATGTATGTATGTATGTATAGTAAACCAAGGGCTTGCGACGCTGGCGTTCTTCGGGGTAGCGGTGAACTTGGTGCTGTTCTTGACGAGAGTTTTGGGGCAGAGTAACGCCTCGGCGGCGAACAACGTCAGCAAATGGACCGGAACGGTGTACCTCTGCTCTCTACTGGGCGCCTTCTTCAGCGACTCGTACTGGGGCCGCTACCTTACATGCGCCATCTTCCAGCTCATTTTCATCACGGTAAGGCGATATATATATATTGTAGAAAAAATATTTTCATTGAATAATTGTGTAGAGAATACAACAATATATACTAGAGGCTTCAATCCTAATCATAGTAGGAGAGCCACATTAGGAAACCTATACAAGTATGGTAATACTATAATTAAATATAATTAATATATTTAGCATGCTCCCGGCTACGTCGGATGTGGAGGAGGTCGGACGCCTAGGCTGGATTTGAACTCGAGGAAGAGCAGGGACGGTAGGCCTTTGGTGAAGATGTCAGCATACTGGGAAGAAGAGGGCACATGAAGAACACGAACCTGCCCAAGTGCTACTTTGTCCCGAACAAAGTGTATGTCGACCTCCACATGTTTGGTCCGCTGGTGCTGTACCGGATTTGATGATAGGTAGACGGCACTGATATTGTCACAGAAAACAAGGGTGGCACGTCTGAGTGGCTGTCGTAGCTCAAGGAGAAGGTTGCGGATCCACGAAGTCTCAGCTACGGCATTCGCCACAGCCCGGTACTCGGCCTCGGCACTGGATCGGGAGGTAGTGGCCTGGCGCTTGGATGACCAG